ATAAAAAAATATTCAGCAAATACCTGGAAAATATACATTGTTGTGCTCACATGTTAGTTTAGTCAGATATTTGAAAAAATTATATTTTGTGTATATTTTATTCAAATTTTGCTGCTTTATCAATAGGACCCGTTTTGTCCCTATTCTCAAGAATCACTGATTTACTAAAAGTATATATTTTAAACATATACCCTAAAAGTATAAATTTTTCAAAAAGTTACCGGAGGAAATTAAATTGGTTACCACCCACCTGTCTTCTTCTGTGTGGATCTGACCTTGGCTTCATTAAAGCTCAGTGCCAAAGCTGATGGCTCCCCCTGGTGGACAAAACCAGGAACTGCTGAGTTCAAACTGAAAAAAACGATACTTTAAGGCCGTGATCCCCAACCCTGGCCCTCAGGGACCGCCGTCCTGCATGTTTTTGATGAGTCCGGACTCCAGCACAGCTGAATCATTTGATTGCATTACCTCCTTTGCATTTGTGCAATTGTTACAGAAGAATGTTAATCACATATTCATTTAACCCAGGTGTGCAGCAGCAGGGAACATGCAGGGGAGCAGGGCTGGGGAGCAGGGCTGGGGAGCAGGGCTGGGGAGCAGGGCTGGGGACCAGGGTGTTAAGGATTCCGGTCACAAAACCGCCATGTGAAAAAGTCTGAGCACCGCCCTGATTATTTATTGTCTGGCATGTTTGTCACACTTCAGAGTTTCAGAACATCAAACCAGTAATATTTAAATTGGTTTGATGTTCTGAAACACTGAAGTGTGACAAACATGTAAAAAAATAAAATAAAAATAGGAACTCATGAAGGGTGCAAACACCTTTTCACACCACTGTATTTCAATTTCCTGTTTCTTTCACATAAAAATCATTCAAAAAACATAAAGCATGATCACCAGAACTGATGTCATTAGTAAATGCATTCCTAAACATGTTAATGTGCTGTCCTTAACAAATTTAATTAAATCAATAAATTTGAAAATATTAAATGTAGTTACTGTGTGATACAAATCACAAATGGGAATGTTTGTCAGCAGCACTATTTGTCAGCCTTGCTTTGTTAGCTGTAGTTACTTAAAAAAAAAAAGAAAAGTTACTTCGACATAAATGATTTTTATCGTCATTTTTATCGTTATCACAATACTACCATAAAATATCGCGATAAAACTTTAAATCCCTTATGAATCATTAATTAAGGTCCAACGTGTCAAGAGAAGCGCTTCGTCGTCCATATTTCTATTTATAAATGTCAAAGTTCCAAACTAAAGACTTAATTCACAACTTAAACTAAATATTTAGGTTTCAAATAAAATATATAGTTAGGAGGCTAAATATTTTGTTCCCAATTAAATGTTTGTCGGGAATTTTGATGACTAAATACTTAGGTATTTAGTCATCAAACTAAGTATTTAACTCCAAATTCAATATTTATTTTGTTACTAAATATTTATTGTCCAAGCTAAATATTTAGCTGATCTGCTAAATATTTAGTTTGGACAATAAATATTTAGTTTTAAAATTAAATGTTTAGCAAAAAATAGTTAAAATTGTAATTGTAGTTGGTTAGCTCGTTAGCTAGCTATGCAACTTGCTAACTAAAAATTTAGCTAGGAACCTAAACATTTAGTTGCAAACTAAATATAAACCTTCCTAACTAAATATTTAATTTGAAAGGTGAATATTTAGTTTGGAAATTAAATATTTTATTCGGAACTCCATGACAGACTAAATAAACATTTTTTTTCCTGTTTACACTATTACCTTAGAAACGGCGCCCCCAAAATCTGTATTTTCTGTCTACTTTATTGCTAGCGTCCCTTTGACCCCACAGATACCTGGATCTGAGTGGGAGCCGCATCAGGAGCCCAACACCGTCTAGTCTGTCTGACCTTGAGAATCCAAGAAACTTCGTCCAGTACAAAAACCGCCTCCATTTCTACGAAGCCCCGTTTATCCACCTAACCTCACTGGAGGTGAATTGACGAGAATAAAGTCAAAATATCTGGAGAATAAAGACGCATTATTACCAGAAGAAAGTTATAAAATTTTGAGAATAAAGACATTTAAACAAGAAGATAACAGGTTTCGCCCTGGACGCGCCGCCAGCACATCTTCACCAAAATCTGCCACTATAAACTGAACGACCAGCAGTGACTCAGCTTCGTCTTTTTCCAGTTGTCCCAGTCCCACCGTCCACCGGTCCTCCTGTCCCTCTGAACGTCTCCACCTCTTCCTGTGAAGCGGAGCGGCTGGCCCTCATCGTCTCCCGCTCAGCCGCGGTCCTCGGCCTCCTGCTCGCTCCGTCAGGTCAGTGTGGCGGCGGGACGCGTCGTCCTGGTCTATGGCTGGACTGACTCAGTGACGCTCTGCTAGCAGCTCTGCTGCGTTTCTGCCGCTGGAGGAAGACGAGGGTCCAGGAGGACGAAGCTGCCAACCAGGAGCTGCAGCAGGAACACTGACGGATGAAGCTACCGGCTCCTGGTGGACTTTAACCCTCTGAATCTGCTCCACTCCTGTCTCTTTAAGAACCCCCCTCGGATGGGCTTCCTTTCCTCTGATTGGTCGGTTTCACTTCAGATATTTGAATATTAAATTAACTTAACACTCCGACTCAGTCTGCACTGGATCACGAGTACAACAGCTCACAAGGAACATTGTAGATTAAAAAAAAATAACATTTTGATTAATTTCAGACACTGTCCAGAAAAACAGACATTTCTGAGCTCCAGAAGTGAAAAATTTGTGAGAAAAAAACTCAGAAATTTCAAAATTAATCTCAGAAATTTCCTAGTTTCTGTGGAATTTCTGAGAATAATTTCAAAATTGATCTCAGAAACGGCTGATTGATTAATGCACTTTTTTAAATTTCAGTGTGTAAAGATGATCCAAGTTTTGCATTAATAAATTATACACACAAAAACAGAAAAATGAAATCTTTACAATTTCACCTGTCTTTTTTTTTACACGGTTTAATTTTTAAATTAAACAGTTTAACACACAACTGATGTTCACAGTCAAACCAGACAATGTTTGTTTAAACACTTCATTTATTAGACATACATTCAAATAGAAATAAAAAATATTCATATATATTCCATGTAGAGCTATGGGGCAAGGTAAGAGTCTAAAACAAACATAGGTCTTCTGTATGGCATCCTCTTATGTACAACATGTGTTGTGAATACTATACAGTGTGTTTCCATAGCTGCACAGGTTTCTGGGTGTTTGTACTCTAGATGAGCGCGCCAGGAGGCCGAGCGCTTTCAGACGCTTTACAGTAAAACATCGACACAGCAGGATCAGCGGGAAGCAAAGCCGTCGTTTAAAAGTTTCACAATGAAGCGTAAAATCAGAAAATAAAATCATTCTGCTGCTTAAATTAAGCTGGATACTCATGCAAAGTCCTAAATGGTTTAGTTTTTAAAGAGCGTTTCGTCACACCGACTCAAATATGAAGCTTTAAGCGCTTAAAAAAATCTACACTGCAAAAACAGAAAATTTTACCAAGTAATTTTGGTCTATTTTCTACTGCAAATATCTTATTACACCTGAAATAAGATAAAAATAAAAGTAGCTTTTCAGCAAGATATAGAAGCGAGTTTTAAGTCAATAATTCATATTGATTTTAAAGAAGCTCCTATATGTTGAATGTAAGTTAGTTTGTATTATTTCAAGTGAACTAAGATGTTTGTGTTAGAACATAGACACAAATACTCAGTAAAATTGTGTTTTTGCAGTGTACAAACCCCTCATCGCAGATACACAACATTTTATGGAGTATTTTAGGTCTGACTTCTCACAAGTCGCTTTTCAAAAAGAAATAAAAGCTTGTTTAAAGTACATAATTTATTAATCTTGAGTCAAATAATCTGCCAATGAAAATGGAATTTTTTCAATATTAAGGAATTATTTACGTAAAATAATATTTTATTTCCTGCTGAAAAGTTACTTGTAATTTTCAAATATACTGCGATATTTGTTCTAGAACCGAAACCAAAAACACTCGGTGACATGTTGTGTTTTTACAGTGCATCATCACAAATAAACAAACTGCTTTTCACTGAATGCACTGCAAAAATCGATCTGTTGTCACTACACCAATTTTAGATGAAAAAAATAAAAACACAAAGCTTCCTCAAGTAGTCCAGTGGTAAGTGCAATCTGAGCGCTCCCCCGTCTCACACACACACACACACACACACACACACACACACACACACACACACACACACATGCACGCACACACACACACACACCAACCCCAGTAGTTACATACAGCCCAACTGGTGCAACACAATAAGACCAGTAGACAGAAACACTGTAAATACAGCAGATAATTCATACTGGTAGATATTATTCTTACTGTTTTGTTGTATTTTTTCTATAACTTTAATTATGGGTGTGATGTTTGTTTTCTTACTGGGTTTTATAATCTGGATCCAGTTAATCCAGTAAAAATACGAGAAGTGGGAGGAATGGAAGCTAAAATTTCCAGGTTTGAAAGTTTTTCGTTGGCACATCCGACCAGAAAAGGAGGAAACTTGAGATTTTACACATATTTAAATCTTTCTGGTGTTTTTAGCCTCGAAAAGCTTCATGCGTTCCTGCACAGTCAGTCCCTCTTTCAGGCTCTGTGAGAAAAAAAACAGACACATTTTATTTATTTTTGTGGACAGATTTAAATATTTCCAAATAAAATTCACTGATGAACAAACATAAACCACCTCTAACAGTAAACGTCCAATATTTACTGTTAGAACCAGAAACTTTGGTTAATTTTTTATTATTTACAGGAATTTTATGTGCTAGACAAGAACAAAGTGTGAATTTACTTCATCCATATAGAAAACAAAACAAATCAATAAATGTACCACGAAATAAATAAATGCTTAAATTATGTATTTAAATTACTATTTATTAAATATGCAATTAAATCATTAAAATACAAACAGCCGATGAAAAATAATAAATTAAATGTTTTGATTTTTGATAAATATTTCATGGTGACGCTGCAGGGTACATACTTATTTAATTTGTACAAGAATAAAGTCATAATATTTAGATAAAAAAGTTGTAACAGTTAACTTTATTCTAATTTTATAATTTTTTCTATCTCAATATTGAGCAAAAGGAAATACAAATGCATGCCACACTTTTCAGATTTTTTTCCTGAAAGCCATTTCCACAGAAAAATCAAGCATCAATTTCTTTACATTTCAGAATTACTAACTACTTTGTGTTTGTCTGCCACTTAGTAAGAATAATAAAAAAAACACAAACTAAAGTTTCTCTGGTTTAATGCGTTAGTAAAACAATGAAATGAATCGAGCAAAAATAAATACAAATATTAATCAGTTAACTGGAAGGAAAGTAAGAAACATTTTCTGAGTGTTGTAATTTATAAAGAGGCTTTGAGTTATGAGTAGAGGGAAGGAAATGAGTGTGAGGGAAGGAAATGAGGGTGACGGAAGGAAAGGAAATGAGTGAGGGAAGGAAATGAGAGTGACAGAAGGAAATGAGGGGAAGGAAAGGAAATGAGTGTGAGTGAAGGAAATGAGTGTGAGTAAAGGAAATGAGGGTGAGGGAAGGAAATGAGGGTGAGGGAAGGAAATGAGGGTGAGGGAAGGAAATGAGGGTGAGGGAAGGAGATGAGGGTGAGGGAAGGAAATAAGAAGAAGGAAGGAGATGAGTGTGAGGGAAGGAGATGAGTGTGAGGGAAGGAGATGAGTGTGAGGGAAGGAGATGAAGGTGAGGTCAGTTGGGGTCATGCTAATACCTACAGCACATCTTTAGGCAGCGGCTGCAGGGGGAGATGACCCCAGCAGGGGGTCAGCTGTCCCATGACACCTGCTCAGTGACAGACTGATGGACAAAACAGACAAACTTACAGCAGCGGCGCTAAAAACATCCAGACTTTAAGACCTACGAGGAAAAACACTGAAAAACATAGAAATGTCTAAACAGACAATATCAGCTTCTAAACAACAACATCACTGACCTTTGACCTTAGGCCTCGCAGCTGCTTGGGGGGTGTTGACTTTTCCTTTTTCATGAAATCTGGGTTACTTTTAGATTTCATGATGTCTAAAACACATTAAAACTGTAATTAGCCACAAATATCTCAGCTCATAACAATAAATTAGATATTTAATTATTTAGATTTTTATTAATAGTTACATTTTAATCATTTAACCTTTACTGATCAATTGCAATATTTATCAAATTAGAAATATAAACAAACTTTTGTAGCTTAAGAAAAACTATGGAAAGATTAAAACCCGTTAATGTTTACTAGTGGATTATCTGTTTCATATTATCTATTAAATATTAATATACTAACCATGATCAGATTTAAGGAATAAATTACAACATAATGAATGAGACAAAGTGGAAGAAGTAAATAAGTGCTAAATGTTTGAATTCATGAAACAGGAAGTGCTTTTATTCTGATATCTTCAGCCATTTTCAGCCTTGTAATCATAAAGTCACATTGTAATATTCTGAAAAAATGACCAATTGTATCTCATCAGAAACTTAAGTAGACATTTATAATTAAAAACAAATATGAGTAGCTTCTCTCTGTGTTGATAATATCCATTCCATTACATATTGAACTAAATTTTAACTATAAAATAAAACCAAAACAAACACACTAGCTTAGCGCTAACAGGAGAAATGGATCGTCGAGTTCAGCTGTAAACTAAAGAGAAATCCTACAACCGCTAAAATCTGACGGCACTCCATGTTTGTTTACATTTTGTGTCTTCTTCAGAGGTCTCCTTCGTTTCCTTTAGCGGTTCTTGGTACAGCGCCCCCACAGGTGAGAAGGGGAACAGGTTGCTCAATTGTTTTGACTTGTTTTACTCAGTGCAACGAACCACACCAGCTGAAAATGCTGCAGGTTTAGTCTCCAATTGAGCCAAAGCTACCGGACTCTCAGGTGGGAAAACGATCAAAGACTCGAGTCTCTGACCACGAGTCCAAGTTATACCTCAAGCTTATTATTTATATTTTTAATTAAAAGCGACTCGAGTATCCATCTCAGACCAACTAAAACAGCTTCAGTTCGTCTTACTGGGAGGTCAGGAAACAAACCGTATCCGGATGTAACGGCGTCGTCAACATTCCTCTCCCCCAAAGCTTCAGTGGCCATGAGCAGCTTCTCCTTCAGCTTGCTGATATCACAGTCGGCCTTCGCCTTCACGATGCTCAGCTCTGTGTAAATGTCCTTATATTTATCCGTGGCGTATTTCTTGTCCTGGCAGAGAAATCGGCTGTGGTTCAAACAAGGAGTTTATGAAGAAGTGAACTGCTGGAAAGCGTTTTGGTTTCACTCACCCTCAAAGCAGACTGCAGTTCGTCCTTCAGAGAGTGGATTTCCTGCTTCAGATACTGGATCTCCGACTCTTTTATCCGTAGCAGCACCTTTAAAGACGAAAAGTTCTTAAGCAAACTGAAATTACAAAAATAAACAGATCAAAAGTTAAATCAGCTAATCTACCGCAGCGATCACTTAATAATCGCAAAACGGACCGAGTGTCCTGTTCTTTGTATGGGAAATGTTTGATGTTGAATCCTGATGCTTTTAGCGGCGTTATTGTCAGTTGCTATGGCAACGAGTCTGGTGTAGCAAAGCCGACACAGAGAGAGAGAAAATAGAAGATTAATGACTGGCTTTGAGATTTCTGCGTCATTTTCCCTTTGCTGCGGTTCACTGCGAAAAATTATTAATGCCTTCATCTCCAGGTTTCATTTAGTGAACGGGATTGTTTTATGGCTGAGAGACTGGCGACCCGTCCAGGTGACCTGTCCAGGCGACTGGCGACCCGTCCAGGTGACCTGTCCAGGCGACCCGTCCAGGCGACTGGCGACCCGTCCAGGTGACCCGTCCAGGCGACTGGCGACCCGTCCAGGTGACCCGTCCAGGTGACCCGTCCAGGCGACCCGTCCAGGCGACTGGCGACCCGTCCAGGCGACTGGTGACCCGTCCAGGCGACTGGCGACCCGTCCAGGTGACCCGTCCAGGTGACCCGTCCAGGCGACTGGCGACCCGTCCAGGTGACCTGTCCAGGCGACTGGCGACCCGTCCAGGCGACCCGTCCAGGCGACTGGCGACCCGTCCAGGTGACCTGTCCAGGCGACCCGTCCAGGCGACCCGTCCAGGTGACCTGTCCAGGTGACCCGTCCAGGCGACCCGTCCAGGCGACCCCGCCTCTCGCCCGCATCGTTAGCTGGAGAGGCAGCAGCTCCTGACCCACTAGGGACCAGGGTATAAGAACATGGATGGATGGATTGTTTTATGGATGGCGAGGAAAAGAGTCGTCCTTTTCTCCTCCAGCGTTGTGTGCAGGTGCCAAGTTTCCAGGTGTAAACAGACGGATTTGCGCAGGTTTACCCACCTCCAGTTCGTAAACGTCTTTGCCGTGAGTCAGTGGAGAGAGAGCCGACTCCCCGCTGAAACATGAGCGCATGCGAGTGATTTCTGCAGTCAGCCTGTTGTTCAGCTCCTGCAGGACAGAAAACGGTGTTTTGGACCAGCAGACGGGGACGTGTGTCTGGGTTTGAGCGGGCTGCTGACCTGGTTGTGAGCGTTTAGCTCCTGGTTCTCTCTCTGGCACTGCCGCAGGGCCTGCCTCTCCGCCTCCAGCGCCTGAGCCAGGTGAGCGTTCTCCAGACATTTCTGGGAGTATTGCTCGGATAAAACCTCCAGTTCTCTCTGGATGGACTGGAGCTCTTCCCTGAACAACCAGGCAGGACAGTTTTAACCTCAAATTCCTCCACATGCTTCTCCAAATACATGTTTTACACATGAACAAGCATAACAGAACATTTCTGTGTGTAAACGACATTTATTTTAGTTTTTTAACTTAATATCCACATTTTCTTGGAAAATTTGTAAGCAATAATCATCAAAATTAACTAAAATAAATGCTTGAGGTATCTCAATCTGAGTTCAATTAATCTTAATTTAGTAATTTCTGTTACTCTTTACACTGAAAAAACACAAAAATCTACCAAGTATTTTTGTTTTAGTTTCTACTGCAAATATTTCAATACATTTGAAATAAGACAAAACTAACTTACAAGTAACTTTTCAGATTGTTTTAATAATAATTCCTTAAATTGATGAAAAAGTTCTGGTTCTACTCAGATTATTTCACTTATAAAAAGAAATTTTTTCCTTGTTATAAGTGAAATAATCTGCCAGTAGAACTAGAACTTGGTTGCTAGGTAACGGGCCAGACTTAGCTGGGGTTGCTAGGTAACGGCGCCAGACTTAGCTGGGGTTGCTAGGTAACGGGCCGGAGGAACTAGAACCTTTTCATCAATATTAGGGAATTATTAAAACATGCTTCTATATCTTGCTGAAAAGTTACTTGTAAGTCAGTTTTGTCTCATTTCAGGTGAACTAAGTTATTTGGACTTGAATCCAGACCTAAGTTACTTGGTAATATTTTGTCTTTTTGCAGTGTTTACATTAATTTACTACGATGCGGCTGTAAACCTGCAGCGCGGTGCTAACTCAGGTACTGGGACGTACTCGTACTGCAGGCGGAGCTCGTCGATGTCCGAGTTCAGACCGCTCAGCTGGGAGCGCTGGTTCTTCTCCAGCTCCTCCTTATGTGCGTTTTTCATCGCTTCAATAGCTACATCGAAGAAACGTGTTTAACATCCGTCCAGCTTAACACAAAATGAGCGTGTCCATAAGCTGACTTCTTACCAGCAATAGTAGCAGCGGTTTCTTCAGCCAGCAGTCGCTCTCGCTCCTCCATGAGTTTGGAAATCTCCCTCTGGTGCTGCCGCTGCAGGTCTTCCACCACCTTCTGGTGGGTTTCTTCCATTGCAGCAAAGCCTCGCTCGCACGTCGCCTAGGGAAAGAAAAGGCCCAGCATTTTACGCTTCAGCCTGATATTTGTCGATGTGTTTCATCACCTGAGATGCGATTTATTTGTGGCTACGCATTAAGTGCGACGTCTAGGTTGCATGCAGAAATCGGTGGCAGAAGGAAAGAAGATGATCTAAAGCTCAGCTACGTTAGTAGAGCAAGTTAAAGCAGTGAAGCTGTTGCCCAGAAGAGTTGAATTTTTACACAAAGACTACTTTATGCCATATATGGATGTGGGAAATGGTATGACTTTTAATTAAAAGTAAAAATGACAAAAGTTTTTGTTTGATCCATCCAGTCAATCATAGATTTCTCCTGGTTTTCTGTTAAAATCTTCTTTATTTGGCTGCTTATTCAAAAACAAAACCTTTATAGTCTAATATCAACAAAATATTAACTTCTCCTTATGTTGGGAACCAATCCACCTTTCAGTCCAATTCATTTTATTTATTTAGCACCAATTCACAGACAGACAGGTCCAGTTCACATCCAATTTCCATTCAAATAAACCCAAAAAAATCAAAAGTCTAATTCAAATTATAACATAAAACAGTCAATTAAGTTGATAATGTAATGGCTGTAGGAAACAATTAACAGGATTTTATGTCCAAGATATTCTCCAGTTAGAAAATATGTTTATCTTCTAAAGAAAGGAAAATAATAGAAACTATTATTTATCATAACTGCATGGTTTCAAGTGTATTTTAAGCATCTTTTTTTGCTATTTTCATCTGAACTTCTGACCTGGGAGAAATCATGTTTAGTGTTGGACCGTCTGAATGGAGCAGCCAGGATGGACTGAACCAGGAAGTCTGACTTCACGCTGCATTGAATCTGACGGAGCCTTTTAAAATAAAACATCACACCATTTCCCAGTAACAGTAAAATAAATGTCACTATAGCTCGCTAACCGTCTACTTCTCTCTGCTTTAAATATTTAATTTATGTAATGAAAGAAGAAAAACCTTAAGACTCTCAAAGTCTCTCTGGTATTTCTCTCTCAGGCTGGCCACATCCCCCTCCAGGTGCTTGTTCTCCAGCTCGTCCTTCATGCTATTCATCTGCGTCTCCAGCTCCTGGATTCGGTCCTTCAGAACCATCATGGAGTCCAGCTCCGACACGTTTAGCACATCCGCCCTCTTCCCCTCGTCTTCCTCTTCCATTCGAGACTCCACCTCTTCGCAGGGAGGCGAGTTCAGGACCTCAGGGCGTTTGTCGGCACTCTGAAAGCCTTCGACATACTGGGAATGTAACTTATCCAGCTCCTCTCTGTGAAGATGCTGCAGCTCGATGATCCGGTCTCTGAACTGCTCCTCCAGCTTCCTAACGTGACGGTTGTGACGCTCCTCCATGCTGTCGATGTCCGCCAGTAGAACCTCGAGCTTTCTCTGGCTGTCGGCGGCCGTCTCTATGAGCACCAGCTCCGTGGAGGCGCGGCAATGCTCCGCTTGACTGAGCTCGCTTTGGCACTTCTCCTTCAGCTCTTCGGTCTCCTTCCGGAAACGATCCTCCAGCAGAGACACTCGCTCCTGCTGAAGGGTGAGCTGGTTCACGCGTTCGCTCAGCTCACTCTTCAGGGCTTCGTTCTCTCTCTGGAGAGCAATCATAGTTTGGGAAAAGTTCTCTTGCTCCTGTCGCAAAGACGCCTCGTATTTTTCTTGGATTTCTACGACCTTGAATGAATGCTGCTGCACCAGAGCTTCCATATCCTGACTGGTCTGCCGACACATGTCCAGCTCCTGCTCATGCGTGGCCCGCAGCCTGCATGCCACGTACGCCACCTGGGCCTGAATGAGGGCTTCTCGCATGCAAAGAGAGGCACTTGTGACATTATGGGATGTTTGGTGTCCTAGAACCGCCTGGATCATTTTGGACAGTGCAGGATGGCTTCCACTGCTTTCTATCTCCTCTGCGTACCTTTGCAGGATACCTGCTTGTCTTTGGAGCTCGTTAGCCAGGTATTCATGAGTGTTTTGAAAGGATTCAATAGCCTGACCGCCGTACGGCAGCACACTTGCCAAGTGTCTATCAACGACTTCCTCAGCCAAACCTCTAGCTTCTTCTACTTCAATCTGCTCCATGTAGGGAGCGAGTTCAGGGGGGCGAATGTCAGCCAACTTCTGTTTGCTAATACCGAGGTCCTTTTTCACATCCTTGATCACAGATTTTAAATCAGGTGTTTTTGAAGCATCAATAATTGCTTTAAGAGCCGTTTCCCTTTGATTGAGCCTGAAGTGGGCATCAGCCAACTCCCTTTTGAGTAGTTTGAATTTCTCCTCATAGCAAAGTTTAAGGTTTTCCATGGAGTAAGTGATTTCTGCTTTGAGGAAGGTGTTGACTGTGACGGTTTCAGCTTCGATCTCTTCGATTCCAGCAGCCTCAGATTTCTCAAGGTTCTTCCAGAATGTACTTTCCAACATCAGCTTCCTGGTCAAGACATCCGCGTAAACTATCGCCAAGCAATCCTGTTCACTTGTTTTGACATGCTCCAAGTCTTGCCATATCTCAACAAGAGCTTGCAACAGGTCGGACTTCGAGGTTTGTATCAGCAAAGCCATTTTGTTCAAAACGGCGGCTTCAAAGGACAATGTTTTGGCAAAGAGGAGCAGGGACTCCTTGTCTACGGCCTCTGGGGTTTGAGCAACCGGTGACTGCTCGTCCAACGTCTTCTGACCTTGTCGGATGTGCAGAGAGGCACTAAATAAATCACTCTCTACTTCTGAAAGCGACTGCAGCTGTAAATCAGTGGTACCATGGCAGCCACTGAGCATCGCCCTAACTTTCTCGCGCCCGTTTTCAACATACATCAAGGCGTTGCAATAATGCTCGAGAGCAGAACTACTCCTGGTCTCACTTTCAACACTCCTAATCTCCTCTGGGGAGCAAGGCACGCTTTCCGACACCTTTGGATCGGTATTGGAGACGTTTCCGGGTTCTGCGGCCCGTTGAACGTCAAGATTCTGTGTGAGATTTCGCAGCTTATCCTCGGTGGTGAGCAGCTTTGTTTCTAGTGCATGTATGATAGCAATGAACTTCTCTGGGTCACTAGTGTGCGAGAGCGCAATGTCAGAGATGTTTTCGTCAGCTGAACTTCTTTGACCGGTCTCTACAACTTCAGGATCAACATATTTTTGGCACTGAATACTTGAAAATCGGATCCTTGGTCTCTTTGCTTCAGATTCTTTATCGTCAGAGGATGGCTCCTTCTCGGAAGAGTCACCTATGGACAGGTCTGTGCTTGATGTTTTAACTGCTCCAGTTTTGTCCTGGTCTGAGCATTGCTTCCTTTCCAAGCAGAGGTCTGCGTAGCCCAGCTGCAGGGCAGTCAGGTGCTGCTCCAACTCTGCAATGCGGTCCTCTGCAACAACCAGTTTGGCTTGCAGATCTTCTTCAGCATCGCAAGGCTCAGTCTTACTGATGAGACTTTGACTCATTTGACAAAGAAGAACCTCTTTAGCTTGTAGCTTCTGTTCAGTTTCCTCCAAGCTGCTGCCAAGCGCCGTCATTTTGACCAGAGCCTCTTTAAGGTCCGCCTCTTTACGCTCCATCAGCCTTTCATACATCTCTTTAGTCTGCTTGATCTCCTCTTCTTTTTCTCTGAGAAACTGGCTCATCTTCTGAAACTCCTGCGTGGCCCGCTCATATGAATGCTCCAGGGTGTAGTAATCTGCTTCCTCGGTTTCCAGACGACTGCGTAGCTTGTTCACTTCGCGGTCCGCCTCTGTGATCTGGTTGAGAAGCTCCTGGCAGCGGCAGGTCAGCTGGCCTTTCTCCTCCTCCAACCTTCGCACACTTTCCCTCAGCGTCTCCATCCTGTCCGTCTTCAGAACTAGCTGCTCCTGCAGCTTCAACATTTCCTCCTTGTGCTCCTTCCCACCTGACGCCCGTCTCCCTCTAAGCAAAGCCTCAACCTGTTGCTCAGCCTCCAACAACCTGTCTTCTACTTCCTTCTGTGCAGATTCGGCCTCCGCCAATCTTCTGCACAGGTTCTGTCTCTCTCTCTCATGTTTCTCTTGCATGATCTGCTGCTCGTTCCTCAACCGTTCCTCCTTTAGTGCCTGGCCCTCTTCGGTAGCGGCTAGCCGAGCCGCTACTTCCTGCAGCCTCTCTTGCAACCTCTGTATCTCTTTCACGTGATCTCGTTGCAGGGCCTGCTGGCGCTCCAGGTGCCTGAGGGCCTGGTTCCTCTCCAACAGGCTTGCCTCAACTTCCCGGAGTCTGTCTTCGCTGTCCTTCAGCTGGGCTCGCAAGGTTGCCTCGTTGCGGCCGTATTCCTCCTCTTGTTCCTTTGAACGCTCCTGTTCCAGTTTGAGCTCGTTGCGCATTCGAGCCACAGCTTGTTCGCTAGCTATGATTTCTGCCATTGCAGATGCAAGTTTGGTTTGCAGAGCCTGAATGTCGTTCTCATGGCGGTCTACGGCATCCTGAGCTTCGGTGTAGCTGCGTCTTAACGTCCGGATCTGCTGCTGAGCGAGATCCTGCTTGCGCTTTTGGGACTCCAGCTCGCCCTGCAAGTCTTGGTTGAGCTTGTGTAATTGTTGCCATGGCACTTTGCGTGGCGATGAGGAAGGCGGCGTTGCACTCTTGAAAAGATCATGAGACATTTTCATTAATGACATCGCCCTACCTCACCCACCATTTACAGAGAACCACATCTCAGGGTTTAGCAGAGAAATAAGTTTTCTCCTTTCTTGCGAATATTTCTGTTTATTTGAAGTTTTTTTTTTTAGCAAGCTTCCACTGTGCTTTTTCAGGGTTCACTTGAAAAAAGAGAAAAACCTAAAAGAACTACATCCTTTCAGACTTAATGCTAACATAGAGTTTCTGAAAAAAACATGTTGCAGGAATAAAAGAGTGAAAAACATTAAGAAACATGCAGAAACCAAGCTGGCACACATGCAGACAGAAGGAAAAAGCACAGCGCGAAGCGTACGGATCAGGTCTCTTACCTTAAACTCAACAGATCAAATCAGTTATTTTCCCAGGAGATGTGAAACTCGATTAGGACAAGTTAGTGAAAACTCATGCTTCAAAAAACACCACAACCATGCATTTCAGTTCGAGAGACGAAGCAACAACTCCCGTTAGTAGACTGGTTTTAAAAAATATACACGTCTTTCACACAAAAATCTGTAACAAAAACGGTTTTTATTTTACTTTATGAGGTACAAAAAGCCTCACCAGGGCTTCAACAACCGAAAGGTTTGTTAAAGTTACATGTGGCCGGTTCACTGGGTTCGTATAACCTTCAGTAAAATCACTCACAACAGGAACCGAGTGAACGAGGAGGGTGGGTGTTACGTAAAAGCAACGTTTTTGAGCCAATTTCAAGGCATCTGATACGCCTGACATGCACAGACTTTTTATAACAACTGAATATAACAGTTACTTGATTTTTTAAAGGTTTTATTGGCTCTAGTGGCCTTTATTTGATCGTTAATTGACAGGAAAGTTGGTAATGAGAGAAGGGGAAAGACATGGGGCAAAGGTCGCCAGGCCGGGAATCGAACCTGCGATGGCTGTGCCGAGGACTAAGGCCTCCATACATGGGTTGTGCTTAACCCCTGCACCACCACAGCACACCCCCAGTTCCTTGATTTTGCTGTAAAATGTCAGTTTGTGCCTGAGAAATAAGAAGACTGCGACTTTAAATAGATTAATTTTGTGTTTCAGGTGAGAGAATCACAGAAGGACCGAGTACACATCCCTGAGGTACTCCTGCGCTCACTCTGAAGGAGCCAACGTTTTGAAGAAATTTCTGATATATAAGGCATTTTCATAACAACTGAAGGAGACTTGATTGTGTTATAAAATGGGACCATGTGCCTGGAAAATACATAACAAGTCCCTTTAATAAAACCTTTTTCCAAATAAATACAATTCTGAAAGAAAATGTCTCCAATTAGTCCCAGAAATGAACGAAGACTGGACAAGTCCTGATGTTTTAAACCTGTAAATGTTTCTGACTGATAGCTGGTGAACAGCTGCGTGTGACGTACCTGCAGGACGTATCCCTCCCTGGCGCTCTGCTCCCGGCCCAGAGCGTCCTCCAGCTGCTCCTTCAGCAGGCTGTTCTGCTGCTGCAGCCGGTCCAGCTCCTGCTGCTTCTGTCCCAACTGGAAGACAACATTTATTCCTGCTTAACCAGCAGAACCAGCAGTTTCCACCGTAGTTTCTAATGGTTCCTAATTAACATTTTCAAGCAAAATGCCCAGATTTTAGAGTTAATAAGTTAAATAATGAACAGGTAAAATGTTCACATTAATGTGTCAGGAAACGGTGGAAACTACGGCGCAGTATCAGAGCTGTAGAAAAAGTATCTTAGAATAAAGTCACAATAACATGAGAACAAAGTGATGTCACAAGAAAAATGTTATTAAAGAATAAAGTCATAAAATAAGAATACAACTTATAAAGACTTTATTCTTGTGATTTCATGAGAATAAAATCATAATATTACAAAATTAAATCACAATATGAGAATAAAGTGATAATATTAATAGAATAAAGTTGTACAATAACAAGTCATAATGTTATGTCTTTGTTCTCATATTTTTGTCATATTTAAAGTCTCACCTCCTTGTCCAGCAGCGCCGCTAGCTCGTTAGCCGGCAGTCGCTCGGCGGTTCCTGCAGTCGTGGAAATCGGGACCTGCTTCTCCTCTCTCAGCGGCGTCGTCTCCACCTGATGCCACCGCTGTTCGATTTCCTGTCTGACGTCTGGAGCGACGCCGTCCGTCGCGTCAGCGCCCCTCGGCCTGACCGCCCTGTGGTCGACGTCCATTTTGCCCGGCTCCTCTGGGGACGGCTCGTCTTTCGCGTCTGCGGCGGGCGGAGCCGATACGGACGAGGTTTGCAGGGAGGAGGAAGACGCGGGCGAGGAGGCCAGCGAGGAGGCGGAGGAGGAGGGCGAGCAGGAGGAGGTGGTGGAGAACGCCGAGCTGAGGTCGACCGTGTCCGCTCGCTCTTTCGCCGGCTTCTCCTTCCTCTCCACTTTGAATTCGGTCCAGTCAAAGGTTTTGGAGCGGCCCTCTCGCCGGCGCTCGCGGACTCCTTTCCTACGCGGCTCAGACGGAGGAGTGGTGGCGTTGCTGCCCGGCGACTGCTTGGAGTCGTCCAACTTGGGGTCAGAGGTCACCTGAGAGGGCTCCAACATCACATGGCTCTTTATGTTTTCATCAGGGATGGATCTGGATCAACAAACAGTGAAGACAGATTTAATGGAGGAGAGTTTTAAACCTGCACCAGTTCAAACAGTCAAAATAAAATAAACACGACAGCGAATTAGAGGCTTATAGAGACAGGAGTAAATTTATGGGCTTTCCAGACAAAACAAGAAAATGGAAGACAAATTTAAAATTTGCTGTAAAAAACTCAGAAACTTTGATCTCAGAAATTTGAGGAAAAAGAAAAACTTTGCGAGATTAAACTCAAATTTTTTGGAAAAAACTTTTTTCTGCGCTTGTCTAAATTGTTTCATTTCTGAATCTCAGAAATTTTTGATTTTTTCTCAAATGTTTCTAAGATTGTCAAAAGTTTAGAGTTTTATTTAACATATTTCTGACTTTTTAAACACAGAAATTTCTTATTTTTTTCTACAAACTTTATTAGATTAATGTCAAAATTTCTGAGTGTATTTAGATTTATCGTAGATTTAACGTCTGAGATTAATCTAAAAATGTCTGAGCTTTTTGTTGGAAATTTACTCCTTTTTCACCTGCAGTGGCTCCAACTGCCGTCGTAAATCACAGCCTCTTCCAGCTGTGAGTTCACAGAGTTTCTGCAGATCCAACTGAGATTTAAGATTTTTAAAACTTTTCCATAATCAGTTATGATTCCAGTCACCTGAACCAGAATGAGCAGCAAATATAATCCTTTATTTAAACCTTGAACTGATTTTATTGTTTCCTTTGTTGACATTGTTTAAACCAAACGTGTTAAAAGTATTAAAAAATGCAGAAATTATCTGAGAAACAGAATTTTTGGGTTTTAACCCTTTGTCAGCCACAAACATAAAAATTAACAGACATAATGAAAATAAATCTATTTGTAGAGGATATTTAAGTTTAAATTATCTGAAATGAATCAACTTTTCAATAATATTACAATTTGTATATATATAACCATATTGTTTTACTACTTTATGTGCAATTACAGAAGAAAATTGGCTAAATTAAAATAAAAATATTCACATGATAAGAATTTCTGCTTTGTTTACATCACCAGTAGCACAATGGCTGCTGATATCGATGCAGTCGCCACATGCTTGATCTGCTGTACAGACTCTGGTAGAAACAAAATGTTATGTTTAGATTGTGTGACCTGCAGAAACCCTGAATCACCACCGTAAACAGAGCCTAGTCAAAGTATCAGAAACATTTATAAGGCAGACGAAGCGACGAAAGCAGCGCCGATAATCTGAGGAAAATGTCAACGTAAACATCTAGAAGAGGAATGAGAGGAATCTGGTGGCGGGAAGAAGATAACAGATGTGTTGAAGTGAAACGAGACAGAATCCAGATCAGCACTTAAATGGGTCATTAAATGTGAGGTCAAAGGTCAAATGGGCCGGGGTTAACAGCGGAGCAACAGGGTGTGAGTTTTCTATAAGAGACGACCTGGAGACAAACATAGAAACTAAGAGATTTATTATTATTATTACAAGAATAAAATCATAATATAATGAGAATTAATATGTAAAGTTACCAGAATACAACTTCATTATGGTAATACTATGTGGTAATATGATGTGGTAATATGATGTGGTAATATGAAGTGGTAATATGATGTGGTAATATGAAGTGGTAATATGAAGTGGTAATACTATGTGGTGATATGATGTGGTAATATGATGTGGTAATATGATGTGGTAATATGATGTGGTAATATTATGTGGTAATATGATGTGGTAATATTATGTGGTAATATGAT